TTACTCACCTGCACAATATATTAATTCATGTATATAAAACTGAAAAAAATCTATAACTGTTATAAATGTTCATTTAATATAGAACTCATACAGTTCATTTCATCTCCTACTTTAAAATATTTTAAAAAGTTTAACTTTATAATTTCTGGATTGAAAAATAACTGTTGTGTTTTCCTAAATGCATGACTATTACTCTTTTCTTCAGAATCTTACTCCTTAATATGAACAAGAAAGCAAAACTTCTGATTTTAATGCCATAATCCATTTCAATAGAATAAGATTTTACCAGAATCCAATAATAAGTATTTTAAAGGCAAATTTTATATTCAGAAATGTATTTTAGAAAGAGCAGACACATTAAATATTAGATAACTGAAACTGGGACTAGTACCTGTATTCATGCTTATTTAATTTAAGAAAGCATATTCATGCACATCACAAATGTCAATGCTGAATGTCTGATATATAGAAAGGCACTATTAACTTATATTGGACTTGCCTTTTTTCCCATTATTAGGTGGGGTTGGTGTTTCTCCCTCATTGTCTTTATAATATTAAAAACACACAATAGTGATTAATTATTAATGTCATTAAGAACCCAAATAAAAACTCAGCACACCACAAAAAATGATATCACACACTAGAGAAACAAATTCATGCACTAAATATGACATCCCACATTAATGAAAACAAGAATAAAGTAAATCTTTCTTATCTTCTAAGAAAAGTAATAAAAATAAAATGAGGAATACCAAGTCAAAAAGTCAGGATGATTACAGTTTATGTTTTATGCTAATTTAAGAACTGATGTAATTCCCTAACTTAATTTTGAGAATAAAACATAAGCAACAAACTGGTAAAGCAATGGTTTTTTTTTTTACACCTATAGCACCCAGTCTTCCTAGGTGGTCTCCCATTCAAGTACTAACCAAGCCCGACCCTGCTTAGCTTCCGAGATCAGACAGGATCGGGCATGTTCAGGGTGACATAGCCATATGTGCAAATGGGCTTCTTTATCTTAATGAAGTTTGAAAAAAAAAAAGTGATCTTAACTACTGCTGAAATCATCAAACTAACAATATCCTAAAAGATGACTTTACTTTGGAAGCTTATTCGTGAACAGTGTGAAAGCCTTTCACTATTCATATGGACTAGTCCGAGATATACAGGAATGGTCAATAGGAAAACATTAATTATACAGCTAAATTAAAATAAAATTCATTCTTACAGTATTCCACAAAAACGTTATTCCTATAGCATTTTCAGGAAAATGGAAGATGTATGACATTCTAATACTATACTAGAAATTCAAAATAGAGAGTTATACATTTATATAAATATGCATTTTACTTGCCTTTGTTTTCATTATCAGATGTACTCTCATAATTTTTCTCATCTGTACAACATTTAAAATAGTTACTGATAATTAGAAACTGTAGCTTAAGAGGTCTCCGTCTTAAACTACAAACACCACTGAAAGAATGCATCTGTGAAAGTATGTCGCATGCACAACTTACATAATGCCACTGATTTAACAATGGTAAAGGAGAAAATAAAAGGCACATAAAGTGTAGTCATGAATAAAAAATGATGAGTTAACCATAACATTAGATCTAAAGTTATCCTGCATAGTTCAAAGAAATTTAAAAAAATTTTAAAGCTGACAGCTTAGATTAGGATTCAACTCTAAGTTTCAAGTAAAAATAGTGAAAATTGGACAAAGAATTATATAACTATATTTATTGCTTATATAATATTTTAAGGTTTAAAATTCACAAATATTCTGACCAAAAAAGTGGCAAAAATTGTGATATCTAAATATAACAGGGACTTAAAAAAACACCAAAATGAAGTTGTCTCCATAACCATTTAGAAGGAGGACTCTTTGGGGAGAAATAATGATGGTCAATAAATATTAAAGCAATACTGACTTGAGATGAAGAAAAAAGGAACTATAGTTCATCGTTCTTCTTTTAGGAGAAAAAAATTTATGGGTAAAATGATGGTAGTCTCAAAGGTTTAAGAATCAAAATTTTGGCATTTATATTCTGCTCTATATTTACTTGTAATTCGCTTCTACAAAATCGAAATTCTTGAGACAAAAGGCTAGGACTTCAGTGTAGTTTTATTCACTGTAATACATGGTAAAAAAAACCCAGTGTTTTAGCAGGTATTCAATAAACATTTTTGAATAAATAAGTGAACTGAATGTAAACCTGGGTAAAAAGATAAGTGTAAATTGTGGTCAGAGGCATTGTCTACAATTTAGTTTGATTTAAACATTGGGAAAAATGTTCAAATGGGTAAATTAAATATTCAGATACTACCTAGACACCTTACATAATACCTCTCCATGAAAAATTAGGTAATTTATTTTAAAGTTAGTACTAAAAAACAATCTGTTCTTTTTTGTACATTTATAAATTTAAAGCCTGAGGTCTCACATAAAATTGAAAAGCCATACTTCCAAAACAGTCAATTATTTATTTTAGACACACAGACAGACCTGCCTTGACCTCGTCACCCTGCTTTTCTCCCCCCTGCTCTTCCACATGCCCAGTTTCTTCATTAACTTCTGTATTTGCACAAGTAAAAATAAAAATAAATAAATAAATAAGGCCAGATATGTATATTTGTTAAATTTTTGTGAAATGAAACAAAAATATTCAAATTATTTATGATATATAAGTGATTGTAAAAAGACAGATTATTTTGAACAAGTTTCTGACATGTTATGGAATCAAATAAGTATACTGGTAATAAATGATCATACTGTCTCCTTCTATAATGACTCTGATTTGTAAAAGATCTTCGGCCTCTAAGTACTTACAATATCCGATAACTGTATGAAGTAGGCAAAATACTTTGTCTATAAATTTGGTATATTCTTATACAAATATTACATATCATTTCTTCTAGAGAAACAAAAACAATATTATAAACCCTCATTTATTTTTACAAAATGCCAATGCATCAAAGTTAGAAAAAAATTTTTCTTTAAATGCCTTATAGTTGTTTAGTATACTGTACTTTCATTATATTGCCCCTATTTTCTCTGGTTCTCAGACAAAGAGAAGATGACTAATGTTGTACCACTGTAAAGACCAACATGTATAAGGTTTTAAACTAATTTAATTAACAGACAAAAATATAACATAACCCAAATCAAAAGAATTAAATTAGTTAGGAGTTGCTCAGTTTTTAGCTGTTGAACAGGATTAGAAAATAAACATGTCATTACTTTTATTTCAAAATAATACTATTAAGTTACAACCTCTGACAACTCTTTAGAGATAATCCAAACATAATTTGATTTAGCCCATCGATTAACAGTCTATTTTGGATTATGTTCCTTTAACTTCGCTAGAAGTTGAAGACTTCTAAAAGATATTACATGTCTACTTTAAAGCTAAAGAAAACTACACAATCATGTATCTACTGAAGTCTTCACTATCAACATTTATAAAAACACTATTAACATCATTCATACTTATAAGCAAAACAAAACAAAAACCAAAAAAACTTTTTATTTCATACTGGAAAAGATAAGGGAGATTTTGGCTCTCCTCTCTTTTATTTATAAAAATGGAAAAGTCACAAAGAGAACATTAAAGGAAAACTGTGATTTTAATTGATTCTATCAGGCAAAAAACAGTATATAGAATATTTGTTGACAAGTCCATTAAAAATTTCCTCAACCCTGTCTTTTCAGTATCGGCTCTATGTTGGTTTTCTGGTATATTTAGTATTACGAAGAATGGACTACTCAAATCTCAATAGATATTGCTATAAAAAGTATTAAAATTAAATTTTAAATTTTGTGACATAAACTTTCCTAATGGAAAGTACTTTTAAAATTACATACTCCATTATTATGCAAATAATTAAGAATAATATAGAAATGCTGCTGAAATCTTTTTATCAGGTAGCATAACAGACCATTAGACACAACAGCACTGAGTTTTTAAAATCACGGTACACAGTAAATAGAAAGGACCACAGAATAGAAGTTGGTAAATCATTCAGCTATAACTAATAAGAACAAAACTTGTTCTATGTTATACAAAGCAATAAAAGTACTGCTGTCCAATTGCAATGCGGTTGAAAATGTGTTACAAACGGTTATAGAATATGAATTTTAACATAAATATGTATAGAATGACAAGATTATTTTAATGGTACTTTATACGCTATTTGAAGTTGCTTTTCAGTTTTTAAATAAATATTTCATGCATTCATTCAACAAATATTTATTGAGGGTTTATAATGTGCCAGGAATTATTCTACATGCTGGAGATTATTCAGTAAATAGAAAAATTAACAATTCTTTAAAGTTGCGAAGTCAATTTCAGAATTCTATAATTAGTAGAGGAACGTTTATTGTCTTAGTAAATGTATGCCACTCCATATATCACAACTCAATATTTTTTCTTGAGTCATAAAGTACTATGACAATAAATCTGTACATATTTAACTCTGATATACTGTAAGCAGGCTTGCTACAACATGAAAAATGATGTAGGAAATACAGACCATAATCACTATCTAACTCGACAACTTTCTTTTCTAGAAAGCCAAATTTGATAATTAAAAGGTCATAAATATAAAATAAAATATATGATGATAACTATAACTATACTAGGTGTACATCCTCAAAGACATAAACACAGACTGCAATTGATATCTTAGCTTGAAGTCTTGCACAAAACAGACTACTTTAAAAGGCAAATTAAACTTTTTAAAAAGAGAAAATTTTATCTTGTCATTTAAAGAAGTTAAACTCTTTGCATTCTTACTTGACTGAATCAAAGAAATTTAACTCCTTGGTATAATTTCCAAGTAAAACAAAAGTAGAATACCAACAATCGTAAAACAAAATAACTTTAGTGTATATAAAAACCTATACAATAGAGGACATCAATTGCAGTTGGGTTTATTTTTGCTTACAGAACCCCCAAAAAGGCTGTCAGCACAAAACAAACCCTCCTTTATGTACAGACCTTCATAAGGTTCTATCTCCTTGACTCCATTGTCTAGGAAAAATAAAATAAAAACAAAACAAAAAAAAGGAACCAAAGCACAGGGGTTAAAAACAACAGAAATTTCCAAAGGCACAGAATGCATCATCTTTTAAAGAAAAGTTAAATGGCGATTTAAGAAATTTTTTTTTTTGACACAGCACATCCAGTTACTATATATAGGGACCATTTAAAAAATGATGTTAAAAATTATTATATTCTATCATCCCATGCTTTTAGAGGTCCTTTATCTAAGAATTTATTTATAGATGTTTGGAGATTATGTTCATCTGTGTATAAGCAAATAATGCTTCTTATGCAAAAATTTGAAAATATTAAAAATATCAGTACAACATGCATCTTTCTTTGTATATTCATGATTACCTTTTTCTGGTACTCCAGTTTTGAGAAGGATCACCATTGTTGTGCATCAGCTAACCAGTCCTTTGCAGTGTGTGAAAATTGATTTGGCTAGTTACTAATAAACTTTATGTAACTATTGACAATTACATAAACTTAGTTGTAGCGAAGAAATATCATCCAACTGCTTATTTAAGAGCATTAAGTTTACTTTTCAAAATGCATTAATTCAAATTTTAAAAATGTGCAAGAGCAATAATGGTAGGTTATTTTATCTTCATATATTATAAATTTTAAATGCAAAATACATAATATTTAACAATTAGCAAATGCAGCTAAGGCGTTCAATTAATGAAAGAAGAAAACTAACACAAAGGTAGTAAAAAATCTTGATTCACCTTAGCTTCCTTGCGTATTTCCTATATGACATGGTTAGAAATAAAACTTACTTCTCTCCAATGTTCCCTTTGGCGGAAGCTGTGGAAGTTGTCGGCCCCTTCGTCCTGCCACTGGTGTACTTGATGGGCTTGTTTGGACAGACCCAGTACGAGGATGAGACCTACAAGATACACCATTAATATTCATTTTCGATAGAATGAGTTGAATACTTTTAATACATTGGGTTCATAGGATAGCTGTATAAATGCAATTTTAAAAGAGGTTTAGCTGCTGATTAAAAGGTTAAGAAAGTAGGACACAATATGGATATTTAAATAATTATCTAAATAGCCAAAGATGTTTATTCTTTTGTGTAATATGCATACATACACAGATACATGCACAGAAAATCCTACAGTACAATCCATGGAATTATTAATGTAAATTAATATCCTATACATATGAAAGCAAGAGGATAATTCTGCAGCTCGAAAAATAAAAGATAATGTTTTATTTTCTTTCTACCAGACTTCAAGCTCTTAACTCTCACCTCTCTCCCTTGATCTAAAGAGATTTTACTCAGGCTTCTATTAGATATCCCTTTATTGGAAAATATCTGATGAAACTACAAATAAAATCCTAAAAAATTCAAAATTAAGCTAAGGAAGATATTGGTCAATACAAGATATTAGCATTGATAGAAAGAAACTAAAAGTCTAGTTTTATTTATTGTTGTTATGATGATTATTCCAAAGTGATGTCTAATGAACACAAACAATTTCTCATTCTGTAGGAGAAGAACATGATAGTTATGAGGTGCATTATGTGGGGATTTACCCAGGACTCCTGATAAATGAGAAATCACAAAACAAATGCAGTCAGGACAGTTAATAAACAAATTACAATGGTAGCCACACACTATTATATCCACTGGATATAAATAGTGTGCATACACTGAAAAGGTTAGTATCAACTGTGATTAGTGATCAGCCAAGAATGATAAAAGAGACCATTTAGCTGCTGGGAAAATAAAATGGTGTGCTGGTGGGGCAAAGGGGAGTTAGTCTGATTGATTTATCTTTCACCTCGATAAGGCAGGTGAAGGAGGGGCAGATCTTCCAGTCATTAATGAAGGCATCGACCTCATGAGGTTTGTATCAGGACGTTCAGTGGATCTGGAGCGGGTGGTGGTCCGCTCTAGGAGAGGCCGCTGTTCTGCTGATCTGGATCTGTGATATGGCTGTCTATCTGCTGCTTCACAATCCCTGCAACGTTAGTCAAAAAGCAGCTCAGTTGATCTTCAGTGCCCTTCTGCTATTTGGTTATGATGCATCAAACTGGTTTTGAAAAGGTAATTGTTTAAAATTACTGAGTATGTAAAGAATTTCTCTTCCCCAACATATTCTGAGCAAATTTTCACTAAACTTGAAAAATTTCTAAGGAACCAAAATCTACCTTTAATAGCAATTCCCAGTGAAGATAACAGGAGTTGCTCAGTTATAACCAATGACAAACAGAAATGCCTGCTTTCCAAAGTGAATTCCCATTTGAACATGTAAAATATGTGAAGTATTTTATTTTAAAAGAATTCAATGACTTTTCCTACCATTTTAAAAAGGGTAAAGAAAACCATATGACCACTATGCTCAAACCCCTAGGGCTGTTTATTATAGTAACTAGGATATAAAAGGTTTCAACGCCATCGTAATATACTAATATATCTGAATCAAACAGAAGAATCAAAATGTTATAAGAAAATGGTGCTACTTTACAGTCTGTAGCCATATATAAATATGGTCCACAAGAAAAATCACTACAGAAAACTGGTTAATCAGCCAATCCATACCATCTATCTCAATGCACTTTAGTGATGCCAACCAATACAATTCCGAATGGGTATTAACTGATTGAAATAATAATGGTTCAATATCTCTCTTTGATCACAAAGAAACCAATATTAATCCTAATCCTTGTTGAAAGAAGAACACTTAAATTTAAGTAATCTATCATTATTGATATTTTTTTATCCTTGAAGTCTAGCACAATGCTTTTAACACCCAACACGTGGTCAATAAATGTCTTCTAACACCAATCCCATCATATGTGAGATAAACCTAAAAATACTAGCTTTGACTCTATCTAGAACTCCAAGTAATACATACTCTAAAGTTTACATCAAATCAAACTATTACCTCCCCATGAAGTTGTAATCACAGAAATGGAAATGCTTATATAGTACAGACAGTAAAGCAAGCATTAGTCTTCCTCAAGACTAATGTATCAAGGACTTCCACCTGACTTGTAAATTCTCTCAATCTTATTTTTGAGAATAAAAAATGCAGCAATTAAAGAAAAATAAGAAGAGCAAGGACACAATTTACCATATGTAATTAATAATATGGCATACAATTTTAGACCAGTAGACATTAGATTAAATGACTTTAGGAAGTGAATACTATGTTTATTCTACAATGTATCTTGTGATTATCTTACACTTTTAAATTCATAGGGTAACATATAAGTCAAATAATTTTTAAATATTTTTAAGTTCATGTACCATAATATGACTGATTTTTAAGATAATTTCAGTATATTTATATAAGTGTATTCAGAATATGTCAAAAGCTAAAATTAAATGTAAATACATATACAATTTCAATTAATTGTCAGAGGGAAAACAAGCCAACCTGATAGTTTAAAACATCATAATTGTATTTTTGTTCCTGAAAAACTATTTTAGAGAAAACACTTCTTTTAATAAATAAAAATGCTCAATAATTTGTTAAAGATTCTTAATGTACCTATCTTTGTATATCTGCATCGCAATAAATAACCAGAATTAAAGGGATGTACATATTTTAGATTTCTTAAAACCTACTTTTGAGAGAGTATCAATATTTACATTATTTTCAGAATTCCTATTATCCTAAGCTAATAATAAACTTATCTCATTATCTAATATGTAGGAACAAAACTCTGTGTAACATCTATGATTATCCAAACAGAAAAGTAGGCTAATATATTTCATTTATTAATGCAAATTTAGATTTATTGTGATTCCATCAAGCAATTTTTCCAAGTGTAAAAGGAAATGTTAGAATATGCACTTTCACTTCTTTGACACTATATTATTAATAACTGAAATACATAATTGTGAGTGAAATCCAGAGAATTATTTAAATGTGTTGCTATATTTTATGCCCTGATAAGGATGCCATTATTTATAAAGCAAATAGGTCACTCCTTAAAAAATATCCTTTTAAAATTATAACTCTTTAGTGACCAAGCTGTTTGAAGACTATAGTCTCTTTTAAATTTTATTTATATTTTCTCTCCTTATCATAAATATAAATTATATGATTTCTATAGTGTGAAATGAAATATCTGTTGATAAGTAAAACATAAAAAGAACAGAAGAAGGTAGAAATTTCCTGAAATGCTCCATGACGTTTAAGGGAAATGGAAAATTACCATATTTAAAATTTTGATAACACAATAGAAGGTCAAGATAGCTCCTGCTCCTACAGTTAGTTAAGAATAGGTCTTACTGGATAAGAACTAAGATAATTGCTGAGAAAACGAAAAGCAACAAAGCCTAAGTCTCATATATAATGCCCAGTCTCATAGCAGGTTATTTAAGGGACTGAGATACAAAACTTGACAACTTCCACCTAAATTCTCAGTGAATTTTAATTTTAAGATGAAGATTTATAATTAGTTTTGAATAGTAGCAACTGTGATATGGGAAATAACTGATAATCATTTGCAAGGCATAAAACATTTAAGTTCCCATCTAGGGTTCTTAACTTGGGGTCTGTATTTCAATATAAGTAGTTTCCTGAGTAACCCTACTTATTTATTTTACTTTGTGCATTTCAAAACATTATCAGAAAGGATGGTCATAGGTTGTACAAGACTGACAAAGCGTTAGCCATTTAAGTGGTTAGGAACCACTCACCTATAAATTTACTTTTCTTTTAGGTAAATAATTTGTCTTTTAAAAAGTGGTTTAATATATGTCACAGTTCTGTTTTCGATAAGTAGTTATACTTTCTAATACACGTTTAAAATATTTCTTTTTTTATATGTCATTTACATGGATGGATACAGATTATTGCTACGCCCTATTTAGTGGCTGCTAATTCCAACAGCAAGCATTTGGAGCGGTGCAGTTGAGCAGACTCTGCACAAACAGCTAATTCATACTGACTGACACTATTGTAACACCCAGCTTTAAAAACACGAGAGCACGTGCAGATTTTTAGTTGAGGATTTCTAAGGGGAAAATATTTTTATAATCATCTAGCGAAGTCCATTTTGAGTCATATTTCCTCTCAGTATAGTTGCTCTTAAAATTTTTTTAAATTTTCCAAGTATGTGGCCCAGCTTCCTGCTTATTTCATTTTTTGCTACTTATTTAACTTATTCTCAAAGTAGAAGGAAGTTATGCAGTATAACAGGGAAGAAGAGACCAATGTGCATTCTTTTCTAAAACCATTTATATACAGCCATCACAATGATACAACTCCAGATCAACTCAATGTAGAGTATCTCTCTAGATATGACAGAATACTAAAAATACTCAAAAAAAAAAAGAAACCCCAGCACAATGCAGTTTCAATGTAATATTTGGATATGTCGATAAAAATTGTCCTAGAATATAACTCAGACCTTGCTAAATCAGTCTTTTTTTTCATGTTTATAACATAAAAATGTCATAAGTAAATGTAATAGGTTTTCTTGAAAAATACACCTGTAAAAAGTAAAGCTGTTTAGGAATTAGTTATTATGTTTTCTTTTCATAAAAAATTATTTCTCTATAAAGCTGACATCTTAAATAAAAAAACTGGACATCTGTCTGAAGGACAGTAAGTATAATCTAAAGTTTGGGGCAAAAAATGCCTTCCTATATCCATACTGTGTAATATACAGTAAGGTGATTAACAGCAGAAACATTACACTTTTGATAAAATATCTTGATATAAAGAGAATGTCTGAGCATTAGCTACATAATAGAAGAAATAAATATAAAATAAAATAAAAATTTAAATGAGATATTTTAGGGTAATTAATATAACACATTTGTATAACTTAAAAATTTAATTATATTATCGACTATAATTTTCATAATGTAAATAGTACAAATTTAACTTTTTTAAAACTCTAGTTTATATTAGTTTAGCACTGCTTCCAAAGTTAAGAGAATTGCAAGACACAAAATACTCACCAAACAAATCATGGTAAATAAATTTTGTGTACAAATAAAAACATTTTATTATTTTGGTGGAAGATAGATCAATTCATCCTTGGGAATGACAGCATTTTTCTATAGAACATTTCTGTTCAGTTAAACATAAATTCTGCATGATTATTAAAAGTAAATGAGCTTACTAAAAAATAACAGCAATATCTCGAGTCAGTCGTTAGTAACAATCTAAAATGTGAAAATGGTAATAAAACATATACTCATGAGAAAAAACAGACAGTTGTAGAAAAATATATTACTATTACCCATAAGCCTACTTTATCATCAAAAAGAGAAGTGTTCTCATATCTAGAGAGGTTTTTTTAAAAAAATAGTCATTATTGAAAACAGCAGGAAGAAATGATTAAGTATCTCAATTTCCTCAAGAAAATTAAGGACAAATACAATACTGAACAATACAGATGTAGTATTAACTATGCACACACAGAAACATATAAGATGTAAATGTCTTGAGAATAGTATTTTATCAAATATTTATAATTTTTATTTTTATTTAATTTTACTTCAAAAAATAACATAAACAAAATCACAACAAATAAGCAGGATTATTTACCCAGCAACAATTAACATGCAGTAAGCTAATACATCTTTAAAATATATTTTCAAAATCCTGAGCCATAATATAATTACCACCTTTTATCTATAAAATTTCTATTTTACTAAATAAAAATATTCCCATTTTTAGTGGATGTTAAAGTTTAATAATGTTTTGTCATTGTAAGAAATTCAAGTTATTCCATCAAGGTATTGGCCCTATGTTTTCCTTTCCCAGGTCTTCAAAGATTTCCTAAAATAACAAACATTTTAAAGATGTATCTCTTAAGGACCTAATTATGCATTGATATTGTATTATATGAGTAAACGTGATGAGGCAGGTCGTCACCCTAGAATGTCTGAGTGCTATGTTCAACAGTTTTACTGATCAACTTTGAACAATTTACTTAGCTTTCCTTTTGGTTTATTAGTTTTACATGGATAGTTGAATGGGGGTAATGCAAA